ACCTGTACATAGACTAAGAGGCAGTCATTCGAATAGAACGGGGATATACTGCGTGGTTTAAAGTCAAGAAAGGTGTGCGTCAGGGATGTATCCTTTCACCATACTTACTGAATCTATATGCTGAGCAAGTAATCCGAGAAGGTGGACTATATGAAGAAGAATGTGGCATTAGGATTGGAGAAAGGCTCATTAACAACCTGCAATATGCAGATGACATAATCTTGCTTCCTGAAAGTGAAGAGAACTTGAAGCACTTACTGATGAAGATCAAAGACTATAGCCTTCAGTATGGATTACATCTCACCATAAAGAAAGCAAAAATACTCACAACTGGACCAATAAGCAACATAATGATAAATGGAGAAAAGAATGAAGTTGTCAAGGATTTCATTTTACTTGGATCCACAATCAACGCCCACGGAAGCAGCAGTCAAGAAATCAAATGACACATTGCATTGGGCAAATCTACTGCAAAAGATCTCTTTAAAATGTTAAAAAGCAAAGATGTCACTTTAAAGATGACGGTGTGCTTGACTCAAGCCATGGTGTTTTCAATCGCCTCATATGCTTTTGAAAGCTGGACAATGCATAAGGAAGACTGAAGAATTGAAGCCTGTGAATTATGGTGTTGGTGAAGAATATCATGAATATCATGGACTGCCAGAAGAATGAACAAGTCTATCTTGGAAGAAGTACAGCCAGAATGCTCATTAGAAGCAAGGATGGCCAGACTTGTCTCACGTACTTTGGACATGTTATCAGGAGGGACCAGCTCCTGGAGAAGAACAATATGCTTGGTAGAGGGTCAGCAAAAAAGAGGAAGACGCTGAACAAGATGGATTGACACAGTGGCTGCAACAATGGCCTCAAGCATAACAACGATTGTGAGGATGGCGCAGGACGGGGCAGTGTTTCATTCTGTTGTACACAGGGTTTCTATGAGTCGGAACTGACTCGACAGGCCTAACAACAACAACCCGTACTGGAACCCCAATTTTCTTGAGTGTCACCTTTCTCTTGATTTATTCTTGAACTGTAGTGGGTCGAAGAGTGAACAGAAGTTAAGGTTGTGAACACTGAGTATAGATTATTCTTCTGTAACATCTGTTTAGGAAGGGAAGGAAGAAGAGTGGGGAAGTAGCCTTATAAGGATGTATTTAGAAATATGGAGGCAGAGACCAGAAGCAATATAGCTAAAAACAGTTGAAAGTAGTTCTTTCTAGGGAGGTGTAGAGCACAGGGCTGTTGTTTTTCATTGTAAGGCTTGTGGTGTATTATAGTTCATTAACACTCCTAGGCTTTTACCCAACTAATTTGAAAACTTATGTCTGCACAAAAACCTGCATGTGAATATAGCAGCTTGATTCATAATCATCAAAAACTGGAAGAAATCATGATGTCTTTCAATAGATGAATGGATATTATTTGATGATAATACATGTACTCATGGAATATTATTTGATGATAAAAAAGAAATGAGCTATCAAGCCACAAAAAGACATGGATAAATCTTAAATGCATACTGCTAAGTGAAAGAAGAGAGTCTGAAAAAGCTACATACTATATGATCCCAATTATATGACATTCTGGAAATGGTAAAGCTACAGAGACAGTGAACAAATCAATGGTTACTAAGGGTTGGGGGGTGCAGTGGGATTTTTAGAGCTGTGAAACTATTTTGTATGATGCCATAATGGTGAATGCAAGACATTAAGCATTTGTCAACCCATAAAACTTTACCACAGAGTAAACATGAATTTAAAAATTATTTAAAAAATCATTTAGGACGTAGAAGATCCCAGGATGGAACACAGAATATGACAAAAGAATCCAAATGAATTACAAACGTGTAAAACAACCTCATTGAAGATTGGGGTAGGACAACACGGTGTTGACCTAAGTAACTTTGCAAACGAGTAGAGTCTGTAACACTAAAGGAAAAAGGAACTATATATACATAAGTATTGTACTCTAGTTGATAAACTTGGTTCCCATAGGGGTATGGGTTAACAATTCTGATACTCCTACACATATATACTGGAAATTAACAATTAAGTAAATGGATGGCAAATGCGAGCCAGGTTTTTCACTTGGAGTGGGAGATTACTAATAAGCATGGGGAGGTGACTAGAATGATGCATGTAGCAATGGAATAGAGATGGAGACATCAGTATAAACTCATGTTTAGTTTAATAGGACTCATACAGAAATATTTGTAGATATGTGTAAACGCATGGGTTGGAATCAACTTGATGGCAACTAACAAGATAACAACATGTGTAAATACACAGGTTAGTATACAAACATATACATCCTTGCTCTGTCAGCTGAGAGCGCTTAGAAGCAACAACACCCAGTAGCAACGGGCACAACTAGTGCCCAGATCTTGGTTTCTAATACCATTCTCCAATAAAAGGAACCAGGGCTACGTGGAAAAATGGCTGATTCTAGGACTGGGACAGGAAATATACAAGATGAGCCTGGAGTATCTTGAAGTGCCAGAAATTACTAAGAAAGCAGTCAAAACACGGACGCATGCATGCATGCACGCACGCGCGCGCGCGTGCGCGCACACACACGCACACACGATGAGGAATGTCAAAAGGATACAGGAGCCAACTGAAAAGTTTCCAGTAGCCAAAGCTGAAAAAATTTGAGCAACAAAATAAAGCAGTACTGGCTTATAATTCAGAGTATAAAATATTCATGAGTCCGTACTGATAGAAATAAATGATTACATAAATAAATGGGGGTACATAGACAAATCTTCTCTGCAGAAGAATTCCAAATAATTTATGCATTCTGTCCTTAAGGACAAGAGGTCGTGCCATCACTCCTGTCTTTGCCTTGCAATTGTCTGGAAAGCCCTCCTCCTGCCTTTCCAGCTGGCAAATCCCTACTCATCCTCCAAGACCTACCATAAAACACCTCTTCTTAATTGCCATCTCAGACTCCCCACCCCAAAAACACCTGCTCAGTCATCTATGGTGTCTCATTCATTAAATTTATTGAGAATTTATTGTGTACCAGACAAATGCTAGATTCTGGGGCTAGAGATGATAGCAATGTCTCTAACCCCAGAGAGCTCAGTCTAATGACATACCTATTTTAGCACCTTTCATCTTGCATTGTTTTTGCTTTTCTCTCTGAATAGACGATGAATTCTTTAGAGAGCAAGTTCTATTATCTTATTCACGTTTACATTCCCAGTACTGAAGACATTACTATATGTAGTAATTGACAACTGCAATCAAGAACTCAATTATCTCAGTTTAAACAAGGACTACTTACAGGCAAACCAAACCATGAGAAAATAGTCTGTAAGATTTTATACTAATAGTGATTTTTAATTATCTGCAGAATTTTTTCCCCAGTGTTGGACTATATTACACACATTTTGGACAGCAGACAGACTGCATCAGCAAAGAATGAATTCAGCTTCAAGCAAAAGTGGAACCACCTTACAGTGGTTCAGCCCAGGTCCGTTATAGCAGCCCACTGAACTGACAAAAGCCTTTCCCCTCCACCATCCTGGGCATGTTGGTTAATCACCTCAAGTTATTTCACTAAATGGTTGCCGTGGCTCTAGTATCACATCCATGTTGCAGGCAGGGAAAAGAGAAAGGGTAGTGCATCTGCTCCCTGTAATCAGGAAAGCAAAAAAACATTTCTAGAAACTACCCACATGTTGCTACTTACAGTTCATTGGCTGAGAAAATTCCCCATGGCCACCCCTGGCTCCAGGTAAGAATTTAGTTTTTCCAGCCTTTAAAACAGAGGTATAAAATAAAGGACTTTGGGAACAGGGGTTGGGATATGCGTGCCTGCCAGTCTACCTCTTTGGCTCCCTGCCCCCACCCCCATCCCCCAAATATAAATCATCCTTCCTACACATACACTAAAGAGCACTTGTCTCGTCTCTATAGGAGACAACTCTACAAGTCTCTTCCAGTTATTGATTCCAGTCTGAAATCTCTGGGTGAAATGCAGTTTTCCCCATCAGGTTCATATGGGCCCCTACGTGGTTCACTAACCTACAGCTAAAAAAGACAAGTTATCTACCCTCAACACACGACCTAACACACAAAGGCAGATGGGATCAGGATAACCACACATTCCATGCTTAAGTAAACAAAAAGATCTTACACTTACATCGCCTTTAAGCTTAGAAATGTCCTTGTTAACACCTGGTTCCTGGTGCTCTGCCCAGTTCCTTCTCACTTACCTTAATGGCTGTTGCCCTATGGCAATTAAAAACCATAATTTGAAGTGGAAACGTAATACCTTTAATTCCATTTTTGCAAGGCTCCAATCTTCACCCCTGCTAAGGCTGCTGCTGGGCCCTTTGGTTTAGTTTCAGTTATGGTTGGTTTTCCCAAACCAAGACTGTAAATCTTGGGACTCTCCATCAGCTTAGGTTACAAATTGCAAGCTTCTCTTTGTTGTTAGTTGCCATCAAGTCTGCTCCAGCTCATGGTGACTTCATGCTCAACAGAACAAAATGCTGCCCGGTCCCACATCATCCTCACTATAGCTGGTGTCTGAGACCAGTGTTGCAGCAACTGTTAATTTTGAACGCCTTCCACCCTAGGGAGCTCATCTTCCAGCACTATATTGGGCAATATTCTGTTTTGATCCATAGGTTTTCATCAGCTAAGTTTTGGAAGTAGACTGCCAGGCCTTCCTTCCTAGTCTTAGCCTGGGCCAGTTACTAGTTGCTATTGAGATTCTGACTCGTAATGACCACATGTGTGTCAGAGGAGAACTATACTCAATAGGATTTTCAATTGATTTTTCAGAAGCAGATTGCCAGGTCATTCTTCCAAGGCGCCTCTGAGTGGACTTGAACCTCCAACCTTTTGGTTAGCAAATAAGTGAACAGTTTGCACTACCCAGGGACTCCATCTTGTTGAAATCTGTTCATCATGGGTGACCCTGCTGGTAGTTGAAATACTGAGTATCATAGCAACATGCAAGCCACCACAATACAACAGACAGGTTGTAGAAGGGTATCTTAGGCAAGGCTCTATTTTCTTCTTCACTCTGCTTTCAAATCAGTGTCATCTAATCTGATTTTATCCCTCTTTGCATGGCTTTGCAGTTTGCACTTAACACTTAGCATGTGTCACTGCCTTCCATGTACAATTTATTGAATTCCCCTAACAATCCTAAGAGGTAGTTATGATTATTATTTCCATTTTCAGATGAGGTACCCGAGCTACATGGTCACACAATGAATAGGTGGTGGAACCAAGGATTTGAACCCAGGCAGGCTGGCACCAAAACCTGTGCCACTACAACTGCCTAAGAAGTCACCAACCCATGCCAACATTCTCTAGTTTCTCTATTATTTCCCTTAACGCCAGTCTGGTCCGAATTCCAAAGGACAACAGGCAAATGTTTCACCAGCAAATAACTACGTTCACCAATTTTACAGCATAGGATACTTGGGTCCTTGCTAATCCTGTCCTAACTCCTTCATCCTTTGGTATATGTCATTTGCAATTCCAGACATCAAATTGTTTGTTCATCAGGGTTCTTAGCTGCAAATGGGAGAACTCACGGTAGCTTGTTCAAGCAGAAAAGGAATTTATAAAACATTAGATAGCAAACAGCATCTCCAGACAGGCCAGGGTCAAGCTTAGGGGTTTTAAACAATCCCAAACCATTCTAGAAACTGCTCCACAAAGACTGCCCTGCCACAGACACCAAACACACACCAAAGATAAATCCCACTACTGGATGCCAAGGTGTCTGCCACTGCCACCCAAATGCTAGACAACACTGTGCCTATTCTTGCCACAAACTGCAAAAACAGACTCTTCACCAAGTTCTATTCCAACCTGAAGTACATGCTCCTGCCTCAGCTGCAAGAGTCTCTATCTTAGGGAGGTGGAGCTGATATGAGAAATTCCCAGAAAGGATTTTCAGAAGATCCTTCGGTGGTGGGTGGGGAGGAAGGGAGCACCAAGAATGAAGTCTACTACACCAAATATTTCTATTTTAGGTTAATATTGAAAATGTCAAATTTCTCAAGCACGAAGATTTTTAGGAATTATTCCAGTTATTAAAAATTAATTCAAATAATGTACTAAATGATTAATGCACCTATGTATAATTTGACAAATAACAAAGAAATTGAGGAGAAAGTCACTAAGTTGTGCCCATGCCAGTAAACACCACAGTAGTGTAAGTCACTTGCATTTCTCCTGTTGATCATGAGAATGTCAGGAAAAAAACCATCTAAATGCACATAAACAATATTATGAAGCATAAAAATAACACAAGTACTAAGGGCAGTGTGCAATTTATACCTTAAGAACATTAAAGTTTATACAAATGAAACTGACACATCATAATATTCAGCGTACCACATTTAGACATTTATAAGCCCAAATGTGGTATCCATATTAACATTCATACACTTAATTCCACAGGTTAAACAGTCCAAGTTCTAGGGCTGCTTTTGATTCTTACATCCTGCGAAAGTTCAACTATGTAATTCTTTCGCCGTATACTCTTTAACCCAAACTTATTTTATAGAATATTCACACCTTTTATCACAAAACTTGGGTATTAATTCGATTCAGTAAATAATACCACAAAAGATAAAACGTTATTCTTTTATTTATGTTAAATAAAAACATGAGAAAATCCTTTTTTAAAAAGGGTCAGAATATTCCTTATGTCTCCAAACCAAGTCCAGGGATGCAAAGAAATGCTGAGTTCTTTCCCTCCCCTTAAGGATCACAATATGCTTTCATATTGTTATAAACTAGAGACAACACAGATACATGTCCTTCAGTTGTCATTTCAGGGAACTCGTGCAGTCTGATATCTGGGCAAGCAAGGAACAGAACACAGGCACAAGTATATTCTGGAAATACCTCCTGTTCTGGCAATGAACCTCAGTACCAAATATTTTTCTTTTTTGTGGTCCTGCTAAATTTTTAAACTATACATACCACCGCATTTCAATGGTACAATTTTTGCACAACTGCAGAATTATATTAACTGGCAGTACTGTTTAAGTAGCTGAATTTTATAAAATTTAAAATTACATATGCGTAACACTATTGCAAAATTTTGCCAGCAGAAATATGACCCCAAGGAACTGCCATTTCCAAAACATAATTGGGCACACATTTACAATGCACCTGCTAGGTACTGAATTAATGTCATTTCTGATCTACACTAAAGACTATGCTTGAATTGCTGAAAGCAAAATGCTAGATTCATGATTTCTACACCCATTTAACCCCTAAATTCATCACAAACCCTAGTCTGACTTAGTTTAATGGCAAATGATTCATCCAAACAGGCTGTGGTAGGCTCACAATTCTTCAATCTTAGTTCAGGTGGTAAAGTTTTTCTACAACTGGAGTCAGTAAGAATTTCTCTGTTAGAGAAAGCAGACATTTTCACCTTTGGCAGACTGCCAAGATGCTTTATTATGGAATTTACGAAGCTACAGTTTAGTAACTTGCAGATTTAAAAAAAAAAAAAAAAAGAAGAATGAAAGGAAAAAAAGCAAAGGATAACTTAATGCAACCCCATGTCCCAGAACTTTCTAGTTTTTAGTGCAAGAAATGCTGTATCAATGAAACACTTGAGAATTAACCATGAAAGCCTAGGAAAAAAATATAATCAACTCAGAAACGGTAATAAAAAAAGAGAAACAACCAGAGAGGCACACAGATTTTTTTTTTTTTTAAAGGATTTTTATACTATATTAAAAAACCACAAAATAAAAAAGGAATCAATCAACGTGTATCTTAGAAGTCCTTCCAAGGGTCTCAGAACCCAACAGCCACAGAGGCTGCCGCCTTTTTCTTCTTTGCTCAGCCTGTAGCTCATTTAAGGATCATCAGAGGTGACTCGTGTTCTAGGTTTTTAAGATCAAACTTGTTCCGCCAAATCCAAGACCCTGAATTTATCCAAATTGTAGAAACATGCTTTCACCACCCGTCCACCAAAATACCTCCCATTCAGATCAACAACAGCTAAAAGGCAAACAAAAAGACAGTTAGTTAATACAGGTATCCTATTAGACATTACAGGAACATATTTTAATTATAAAGGTTAAGATAAAAATTCAACTTTTTTATTCTTAATATTTAGCTGTACAATTTACCTTTAATTGCTGATTCAACCCTCTCAAATTCCAAAAATATTCGTACTGCTTCATCATCAGGGGCACCAGGAATCTGGAAAAGAATTGCAAGTATAATGGGGTAGCTATCATTTGAGATACCACCGAATGTAAGTTTTCTACCTTAAATGATTTCTGTCAGAGTAAGTATTCCAATTATCATCATATATGGCCAAGCAGCAGTCAATTCTTGTTACTGCTGTTGCAGGACAGGACTGTATTAGTATTTACCATTGTTGCCTTTTACTCTTGCCTTTCAGTGTCTTCCTTTACTTTATGTTGTGCTGACTTCCCCCATATTGTGTATTATCTCTCCCTTCACAAAAGTAAATACATGTCTACCATCTAGTTAGTGGTCCTCCCACCTCCATCCCTGGTAACCATCAAAGAATGTTTCTGTGTGAAAACCTTTCCTTGAGTTTTTATAATAGTCTCACACCATATTTTGTCCTTTTGTGACTGACTTACTTCACTCAGCATAATGTCCTCCAGGTTCATCTATGTTATGAGATGTTTCCGGGATTCACTGTTATTCTTTAACATTGTGTAATATTCCATTGTGTGTATGTACGACAGTTTGTTTATCCATTCACCCACTGAAAAGCACTTAAGTTGTTTCCAGCTTTTTGCTACTGTAAATAATGCTGCAATGAACATGGGTGTGCATGTCTATTCATGTCATGGCTCTAGTTTCTTTAGGATATATACCTAGGAGTGGTATTGCTGGATCATATGGTATTTCTATTTCTAGCTTTTTGAGGATGCGCCATATTGTCTTCCATAGTGATTATACCATTTTGCAATCCCACCAGCAGTGTATGAGAGTTCCAACTGCCCTACAGCCTCACAAGCATTTGTTGTTTTGTGTTACTTTCATCAGTGCCATTATTACCTGTTTAAGATGTTATCTCATTGTAGTTTTGATTTACAATCTTGCTTTCATGTATTTGTTGGCTGCCTGTTTGTCTTCTTTGGTGAAATGTCTGTTCATCTCCTTTGCCCATTGTTTTTTTTTCAAAAACTTAGATTTTTCTTTTTATTGTACCTTAGGTGAAGGTTTACAGAGCAAATAGTTTCTCATTCAACATCAGCACACATACTGTTTTATGACATTGATTAACAACCCCATGACACGTCAACACACTCTCTTCTAGACCTCAGAGGACTTTTTTTTTGGTGAAAATATAGGTAGCCAAAGATATACCATTTGAAAAATTTCTATACATACAATTCAGTGACATCAATTATATTCTTCCAGTTGTGCTGCTATTCTCACTATCCTTTTCCAAATTATTCCATCACCACTGTATTCAACTCACTGTCCCCCCGGCTTTCCATCAAACCTTTTGAGTTGCTGTTGTCAGTTTGATCTCACATACTTTTTTTTTTTTTAACTTTAGATGAAGGTTTACAGAACAAAACGGTTTCTCATTAAACAGTTAGTACACATATTGCCCTATGACAATGGTTAACAACACCACGACTTGTCGACCCTGTCCCTTCTCAACCTTGGGTTCCCTATCACCAGCTTTACTGTTTCCTTCTGGCTTCTAGTCCTTGTCCCTAGACTGCTATGCCTCATTAGTCCCATTTTGTTTTATGTGCCTTTGCCCATTTTTTAATTGGTTTGTTTCTTTTTTTGGTGTTGAGTTGTTGGGAGTTTTCTATAAATTTTAGAGATTAGACCCTTGTCAAGTATGTCATAGCCAAAAATTTTTTTCCTGGTCTGTGGGTTCTCTTTTTACTCTTCTGGAAAAGTCTTTTTTTTTCCCTCACTTTTTTCTGTTTTTATTCAGCATGATACTTCTGAGATTCATCCATGTTACATATCTGTAGTTCATTCTCTTTTTATTTTATTGTTTATTGATGTAGTTTAAATGAAGTTTACATTTCAAGTTAAGTCTCCCATACAAAAATTTATACATACATCATTATGTGACCCTAACTGTTCTCCCTATACTGTGACAGCACACTCCTCCTTTCCACCCCGGATTTCCCATGTCCATTCAACCAGCTCCTAACCCTCTCTGCCTTCTTATCTCACCTCCAGACAGAAGCTGCCTGTTTAGTCTCTTGTATCTACTTGAGCTAAGAAGCACACTCCTCACGAGTATCACTTTATACCCCAAAGTCCAGTCCAATCCCTGTCTAAATGCTGGCTTCGGAAACTGTTTTAGTTCTGGGCTGATACAGAATCCAGGGGACATGCTATCTGGGATTCCTCCAGTCTCATTTAGACCACTAAGTCTAGTCTTCTTACTAGAATTTGAGTTTTGCACCCCACCTTTGTCCTGCTCAATCAGGTTCTCTCTGTTGTGTTCCCTGTCAGGGCTGTCACTGGCGGTAGCCAGGCACCATCTAGTTCTTCTGGTCTCAGGCTGACAGTCTCTGGTTTATGTGGCCCTTTCTGTCTCTTGGACTAATACTTTCCTTGTGTCTCTGGTGTTCTTCACTTTCCATTACTCCAGGTGGTTCGGACCAATTGATGCATCTTAGATGGCCGCCTGCAAGCTTTTAAGACCCCAAACACCACGCACCGAAGTAGGATGCAGAACACTTTCTTAATAAGCTTTGTTATGCCAACTGACCTAGATATCCCCTGAAAGCATGGTCCCCAGACTCCCACCCCTGCTACTCTGTTCCTCACAGTGTTTGTATTCAGCAAACTTCTTAGCTTTCATTTAGTCCAGCTGTGTTGACCCTGTAGTGTGTGCTGTCCTTCCCTTCACCTGAGATAATTCTAATCTACTATCTAGTTAATAAATAAACCTCACCCTCCCTCCCCACTCTCGTAAACATCAAAGAATGTTTTCTTCTGTGTTTAAACCTTTTCTTGTGTTCTTGTAATAGTGGTCTTATACAGTATTTGTCCTTCTATGACAGAGAAATTCACTCAGCATAATGCCTTCCAGATTCTTCCATGTTGTTTCATGGCTTCATCATTGTTATCATTGCATAGTATTCCACTGTGTGGATATACCAGAATTTGTTTACCCATTCGTCCGTTCATGGGCACCTAGGTTGTTTCCATCTTTTTGCTATTGTGAACAGTGCTACAATGAACATGGGTGTGCATCTATCTATTCGTGTGACGGCTCTTATTTCTCTAGGATATATTCCAAGGAGCGGGATAGCTGGATCATATGGTACTTCTATTTCTAGCTTTTTAAGAAAGCACCAAATCGATTTCCAAAGTGGCTGTACCATTTTACATTCCCACTAACAGTGTAGAAGTGTTCCAGTCTCTCCACAACCTCTCCAGCATTTATTATTTTGTGTTTTCTGGATTAATGCTACCCTTGTTGGGGTAAGATGATATCTCATTGTAGTTTTGATCTGCATTTCTCTAATGGCTAATGATCCTGAGAATTTCTTCATGTGTCTGTTAGCCACTTAAGTTATCTTCTTTGGCGAAGTGCCTGTTCATATCCTTTGCCCATTTTTTAATTGGGTTATTTGTCCTTTTGTTGTTGAGGTTTTGCAGTATCTTGTAGACTTTAGAGATTAGACACTGATCAGATTTGTCATAGCCAAAATTTTTTTCCAAGTCTGTATGTTGTCTTTTGACTCTTTTGGTGAAGTCTTTTGATGAACATAAGTGTTTGACTTTTACATGCACCCAGTTATCTAGTCTCTCTTCTGGTGCTTGCGCATTGTTACTTATGGTTCGTATTGTGTTTATGCCATGTATGAGAGCTCCTAGCATTGTCCCTATTTTTTCTTCCATGATCTTTATCGTTTTCAATTTTATATTTAACTCTTTGATCCATTTTTAGTTAGTTTTTGTGCATGGTGTGAGGTATGGGTCTTGTTTTCAGTTTTTTGCACATGGATATCAAGTTCTGTCAGCACCATTTGTTAAAGAGACTGTCTTTTTCCGAATTAATGGACTTTGGGCCTTTATCAAATATCAGCTGCTCATAAGTGGATGATGGATTTATGTCTGGATTCTCAATTCTGTTGCATTCGTCTACGTATCTGTTGTTGTACCAATACCAGGCTGTTTTGACTACTGTGGCGGTATAATAGGTTCTAAAATCGGGTAGTGTGAGGCCTCCCACTTAGTTCTTCTTCTTGAGTAATGCTTTACTTATTCGGGCCTCTTCCCTTTCCATATCAAGTTGGTGATTTGTTTCTCCATCTCATTAAAAAATGCTGTTGAAAGTTGATCAGGATTGCATTGTATCTGTGTATCTCTTTGGGTACTACAGACATTTTCACAATGTTGAGTCTTCCTATCCATGAGCAAGGTATGTTTTTCCACTTACGCAGGTCTCTTTTGGTTTCTTGCAGTAGTGTCTTATAGTTTTCATTATATAGGTCTTTTACATCTCTGGTTGGATTTATTCCTAAGTATTTTATCTTCTTGGGGGCTACTGTAAATGGTATTGATTCGGTGATTTCCTCTTCGAGGTTCTCTTTGTTGATGTAAAGGAATCCAACTGATTTTTGTATGTTTATCTTGTATCCTGAAACTTTGCTGAAATCTTCTAAATTAGTTCCAGCAGTTTTCTTGTGGATTCTTTGGAGTTTTCTGTGTATAGATCATATCATCTGCAACTAGAGGTACTTTTACTTCTTCCCTACCAATTTGGATGCGATTTACTTCTGTTTCTAGCCTAACTGCTCTGGCTAGGACCTCCAGAACAATGTTGAGTAAGAGTGGTGATAAAGGGAATCTTTGTCTGGTTCCCATTCTCGAGGTGAATGCTTTCAAAGTCTCTCCACTTAGCATGATGTTGGCTGTTGGCTTTGTATAAATGGCCTTAATTACACTGAGGAATTTCCCTTCTATTCCTATTTTGTTCAGAGTTTTTATCATGAATAGGTGTTGGACTTTATCAAATGCCTTTTGTGCAGCAATTGATAACATCATGTGGTTCTTGTCTTTTGTTTTATTTATGTGATGGATTACACGGATTCTTTTTCTAATGTTGAACTATCCTTGCATACCTGGTATAAATCCCACTTGATCGTGGTGAATTATTTTTTTCATATGTTGCTGAATTCTGTTGAGGATTTTTGCGTCAATGTTCATGAGGGATATTGGTCTGT